TTTTTTGAGACAGGGTCTCAGTCTCACTATGTAGTACAAGCTGGCCTCGAATTCACAGTAATCTTCCTGCCTCAGCCTCCCAAGTGCTGGGATTACAGGTATGTGCCACCATGTCTGATTCTTATAGATTTTTTTTATAAAAAAAAGAAAAAAAGCCAAAGTCCAAATTAATTCAGTTTCTAATTTGTAACACAATGAGATAACTCTAAATCCTAAACTAGGAAAAACAAATAGTAAGAATAGTATTTGACATAAAATTCCAGCGCCAGGTTGGTGGTACATGCCCGTAATCCCAGCCCCTGAGAGCCTGAGGCTGAGGAAGGACGATCCCTGCCAAGCCGGAAGCCAGTGAGCTCAGGCCCGCCTGATCCACATGACAGCCCTTGTCTCAAGCATTAATAATTCAATTAAATGTCAGCGGGCTAGAAGCGCGTAACTGCAATGCCAGCTACTTGGGAAATGAGGCAGGAGGATGCAAGTGCAAGGCCAGATTTAAACTGAAATACAATTTAAAGAAAAGGTCTGAGAATGCAGCTTAGTGGTTACCAGGCCCCATGTTCAGTCCCCAGCCTCAAGAAATAAATGAACAAGCAAATGAATAAAGAGAAACAGTGAAATAAAACAAAATCTAGTTGGGCATGGTGGGACACACCTGCATCCCAGCTACTTGGGAGGCTGAGATAGGATTAAAAGGTAAAGTCCAGCCTCGTTTGGCGAGACTCAGTCTGAAAATAAAAATAAAGGGGGCCAGGGAGATGGCTCAGTAGAATAAGTGCTTCCCTGGCAAGCACAAGAGCCTGAGTTCAATCTGCTTCCACCAAAAAAAAAAATGAATAAAAATAAAAAGATATAGCTAACTGGTAGAGCTCTTGCTTAGCATGTGTAAGACCTGTGTTCAATCCCCAGCACAAACAAAATCTCATAACTACTCATGGGAGAGGAGAATGTTTTGAAAATCATATAATATAGCAAAAGAATTCCTTCATAGGTAACTGGATGATATTCAAAATATAAATAAGTGAGATCTATTTTCTAAGAGGAGGTAAAGAAATTACTGAAATAGGGGCCAGGGAGATGGCTCAGTGGAATAAGCACTTCCCTGGCAAGCGCCAAGGGCCTGAGTTCAATCCCCAGTTCCGCCAAAAAAAAAAAAAAAAAAAGAAATTACTGAAATAATTGTTAACTTGGAAAAAACTAAGTTATAACTTTGCAAATATATAAGAATTTGGTATAAAGAATACATTATTCTCTTAATGAATAGAATGATTTGTTCTAATGGTGTTTGTAAATGGGATCACAAGTCCGCATCTTGCACAGCAATTAACCACTAAGAAGAATATATGCAGTGTATTATTTGTTGAAACTGTCCTTCCGATATGATTTGAAACTGTCTCATTGCTATCTGTTTGTCAATAAAACTTTGAAAAAATAAAAAAAAAATAAAAAATAAAAAAAAAATACATTAAGAGAAAAAAAAAAAAGAATACATTAAGAAATCATACAAAAATAAACCCTGATACAATTCAATAATAAAAAGACAATCTGTCAGGTATGAAAGGACATACCTATAATTCTATCACTCTGGGAGTCTTGAGGCAAGAGGAATACAAGTTCAAGTCCAGGCTGGGTAATTTAGTGACTCTGTCTCAAAATACATTTTTAAAGGCCCAAAGATGTAGCTCAGGGTGAAGACCCAGGATTCAATTCCCAGTACTGTGCAAAAATAATAATAATAATAACAATAACAATAATAATAATACTTCAATTTTTAAAATGGATAAGAGCCAGGTGCAATAGTGAACAATTGTAATTCTAGCACTCGTGGAGGCTGAGAGAGAGGAGCAGCCTGCTTTCAACCACAGCCTGGGTAATTCACAGGGTTTGTGAAATCCTGTCTCAAAATAAAAAATAGCCAGGGAGATAGCTCAGCTGCACAGTGCCTGCCTGGCAAGCACAAAGTCCTGAGTTAGATTCCCCATACAAAAATAAACAAAAGCATATGAAAAGATAATCAACATCACTAGTCATTAGAGAAACACAAATTGAACCCACAGTGGCACGCCACTCCCCGGCCGCCAGCGCGGCTACTTACACGGAAGGGCTGGGGGTGTAGTTCAGTGGCAGAGTTCTCACCTAGCACGTAAGAGGCCTGTGGCCCGATCCCCAGCACCAAAACCAACCAACCAAACAAATAAATAGAAAAAAGAAAGAAGAAAAGAGCAAGTGTTAAAAAAAAAAGAAAGAAAGAAAGAAAGAAAAGAAAAGAACAAGTGTTGGCAAGAATGCTAGAGAAATTGTAGCTCTCATCCATGCTGGTAGGAATCAAAAATAGTGCAGCCATTATAAAAAACTGAGCCGCTGAAGAAAAGTTAAGATTTGTCATACAACCTAGCACTATTAACTGTATATTTAAGAACTGAAAAGCAAAATTTGTTCAAATATTTAGGAACTAAAAGATATATAAAAACTTGTACAGGAATATTTATCACGTCATCACCCATAAGCACCAAAAACTAGAAGCCAGCGTCTTACCAGCAGATGGATGAATACACACAAGCTGATGCATCTATGCAATGGAATGCTTACTACTGAGACGTAAAGAGTAATAAAATCTTGATACACACTACAATATAGATGATCTTCAAAAACATAAGCCTAGTAAAAGAAGCCAGAAATAAAAGGCCACATATTATATCATCCCACTTATATCAAATATTCAGAATAAGAAAATCAAAGACAGAAAACAGGTGGTTGCTGAGAGCTCAGGTGAGAAGAGGAAGTGCCTATTAAAGAGTATAGTCTCTCTTTAGGGTGATAAAAATGTTCCAGACTTAGCTGTTGGTGTTGGCTGCACAACTCTATGAATATGCTGAAGACCGCTGAACCGTGTACTTAAAGAGAGTGAAATGTATGGTAGGTGAACTGCACCTCGACAAAGCCTATTACCAAAATATAAATTAAAGAAAATCTCATTAGTTTTCACTTGAGCTTCTCAAATCCTAGACTTTAAAGGGCAAAGAAAAGAAAGGAACTGGAAGATTTTAAATTAAAAAATGTAAGTCAAGGGGCTGGGAAAGATAACTCAGTAGAATAAGTGCCTGCCTGGCAAACGCAGGGTCCTGAGTTCAATCCCTGGTACTGCAAAAAAAGAAAAGTAAGTCAGGCTGGGTATGGTGGCATGCGCCTATAATCCCAGCACTCGGGAGGCCGAGACAGGAGGGCTGGGTTACATAGTGAGTTCAAGGCCAGCCTGAACTACATAGCAAGATGCTATCTCAAAAAATGGAAAATAAATAAGCAAATTCACTGATATCAGTATAGTGTGGACACCTGGAATTTTTTTTGGTAGGGGTGATACTGGAGATTGAACCTAAGGCACCTGCACTTAGTTAAAAACCCAGCCCTTTTTAAAAAATATTTTGAAGGGAGATGGCTCAGTGGAATAAGCGCTTCCCTGGCAAGCACAAGGGCCTAAGTTCAATCCCTGGTTCTGCCAAAAAATTTAAAAAAAAAAAAAAAAAATTAGGGGCTGGTGAGATGGCTCAGTGGTCTAAAGCACCTACTTAGAACAAGCTTAGCAAAGCACAGGGACCGCGGTTCAATCCCCCAGCACCACATGCCAGCCCGCCCGCCCCCTGGTGGGCTGAGCTGGCCACACACACACATACACATAAATAAAGTTAAAAAATGTTTTGAGACAAGATCTCATTCAGATGCAGCTGTGTCTCACTGAAAGGGGTTCTCAGCATCTGCAGGATTCAGCCCTAAACTAAGAAGGAATTTTTCCTTTTCTGTGGTGTCAAGCATCAAAATTAAAAAATGTTTTGAGACAAGGCTGGGCTAGTGTGGTCCTCCTGTCTAAGCCTCCCAGAGTGCTAGGGGAACAGGTGTGCGTCACCATGGCTGGCTAGTTTGTGCATCTCAAAATATCTGCACTTGCATTATTATTGTTACAGTATGGGTCTAAATGTCCCCTTGAGCCTCATACAGTCTTAGGTGGGCCTTTTTCAGAGGTGGCTGAATTGAGGGTGTGTGATGCTGAGATTAAAGGCGTGTGATTATTAAATCAGTCCTCTGTATGGCTGGTACCAACCTAACCCTGGTAGCTTGGATACAACATGAGGGACAGAAAGACCCTTGTCCTCTCCCTTGCTGCCATGGACTGACCAGATCCATGCCAATGTGCCCTGGAGGCAGGTAATTATGGACAGAAGCCTCTATAAACTGTGACCTAAATAAACATTTCCTCCCTTAACTTTTGAGTGCTTAGTGTTTTGTATCACCAACAAGAAAAAAGTACAATTAACTTTAGAGTTAATGATTTATTTTTAAAAACTGTTATATTTCTAAAATTTATTTAAAAACCCGAAGTAGGGGTGGCTGGGGAGATGGCTCAGTGGAATCAGCGCTTCCCTGGCAAGTGCAAGGGCCTGAGTTCAATCCCTGGTTCCAGCAAAAGAAAAAAAAAAAACAACCTGGAACTATACTGACAGTTCACTCAGATGCAGCCGTGTCTCACTGAAAGGGGTTCTCAGCATCTGCAGGGTTCAGCCCTAAACTAAGAAGGAATTTTTCCTTTTCTGTGATGCCAAGGATCAAATCTAGGGCCTATGCTCTACCAAGGAGTTACACCACCAGCTCTTTTCATTTCATTTTTGTTTGTTTGTTTTGTAAGAATGAACTGGGGGCCAGGCAGTAGCACACCCCTGTAATCCTAACACTCAGGAGGCTGAGGCAAGAGGATTGCTGTGAGTTTGAGGCCAGCCTGGGCTACATAGTGCATACAAGGCCAGCCTGACTTGCACAGTGAAATTCTGTCTCAAAAACATGAAAATAAATAAATAAATAAACAAATAAATAAATCTGGGGGTTCTTCCACCACTGAATTACATACTTAATAGCCCTTCTTTATTTTTAATTTTTTTTTTTGTATTTTAAGGAAGGGTCTACAGGGTGTTTAGGGTCTCACTACTAGATCAGACTCAGTGATCCACTTGTTTACAGCCTCCCAAGAGCTGGGATTACAGGCACACACCACCATGCCCAGTCTCAATTGCCATCTCAGCGCGCCCAAGGGGCAGGACCAGCACGGCAGGCCCGGGGATTGGACCCCTGGCCCCTGCGCCTGCTTGCAGGTGCTTTAATCTGCTGAGCTATTGGGCCGGCCCCTTACTTTTAATTTTTGAGACAGGTTCTTGCTGAGTTGCCTGAGGTGGCTTCCAACTGTGGTCCTCCTGTCCCACTCTCCTAAATAGCTGAGAATGCAGGCAGATGCCACTGTACTTTGCCAGGGAAGCGCTTATTCCACTGAGCCATCTCCCCGGCCCAAAAAGGCAGAAGGGGTTTTGTTTTGTTTTGCTCTGAATGCCTTCAGGGCATGATTGGCTGGCTTGAGTTGTGGGGATTCGAACCACAGCAACCTGAGCCTGACTGCTTTGTTGAAGCAGTCACTTAAAGAACTGAGCTAAGGGGCAGGCCCCTAGTACTTCACTCTTAACTAAGAAGAAAAACTTAATTCTTTAACCAATAACACTACACAGTAAAGATATGGCTGTCAAAAAGCCATGATGCTGCCAAGTTGCTTTTCTTGCCCACCAACCCAACTTCTTCAAGTTCCCATTACTATGCACCATGCACCTCTCTCACCTCGTTGTTCATGTAATGTAGATCAAGAGGCTGCCCAAATACTTTTGCCACCTTGAGCTCCACATCTTCATATCTCACAGGCCGGCTGAATGCTATAATTCTGAAAAGAACAGAGAGTTGGTTAACTGTACTTGAAACACAACGTTCAGAAAGCAGTAGCCTGCATCTAGTTTCCCTTTCTTTTCAATGTAAGATGATCTTTTTTCATGGATTCAGGGCCTTTGCATTGAGCTATAGTTCTAGCCCGTTTTAAAATTCTGAGATAGGATCTTGCTAATTTGCCCAAGCTGGACTCCAATAATCTTCCTGCCTCAACCCACTGAATAGCTAGGACTATATACAAGCAAGTGCTACCATGCCTGGTCAGATCAATTTTTTGAAACTACGGTCTCACACATCTGGGCATGTAAGTGCTGATATTGAAGCTTTTTTGTAGGGATTCCTTAGGACCATTCTAAAACAATTTTTATAAATATAAAAGCAGAGTAGGAACTTGAGCAAGTTTAATACCTCTTAAGGTATTAAAATATGAATTGTTATTAAATATTCCAGAAGCATTAAAAAGTGGGAACAAATGAAACAAGATTGGCTAAATGTTGATAATACTGAAGCTAGGTGACAAGTCCATGAGTGTTTAGTATAATATTATACTTATGTACATCTGTGCTGGAAATTTTCATAATGAAAGAGCTGTTTGTTTTGGTGGTACTGGCGATTAAACCCAGACATTTGTACTAAACTACATCCTCAGCCCTTTTTTATGTTTTATTTTGAGACAGGGTTTCACTAACTCACTAAGTTACATAAAGTGGCTCAAACTTGTAATCTTCTCTCCTTAGCTTCCCAGAGTGCCAAATTACAGGACTGTTCCGCCACAACTGGCAATAACAGAAAGCTTTACTAAAATAAATGTATAGGCTTATATAGGACTGCTAATGGTGAACTATTTTGAAACACAAAAGTGCCAATTTCACGGGTCTTACCTAATACCTTAGAAGTTGAATAATTAAAAATAAGCAAAGAGATTAATGGAAAAGAAGAGAGCATATGAATGAAATGTGTGCATGCATGTGTAGAAACACACAAATATACAACATTTAGATTAAAAAATAATTTTTGGGGGTGTGCTGGTGTATACCTATATTCCCAGCATTAGGGAGGCTGAGGCAGGAGAACTACTTCAAGTTCGAGGCCAGCCTGGACTACATAGTGAGTTCAAGGGCAGCCTTAACAAACAAACAAAAAACTTGACCAGGAGTGCTGGCACATGTCGATGGTTCTGCTCAGAAGGCTGAGGCATGAGGATGGCCTGAACTAAAGAATTTAAGACCAGGTGGAACAACACAGTAAGAGTCTATCTTACAAAAATTATGTTAGAGTGGAAAGGTCTTCCTAAGCATAATACAAACGAAAATCAGTAAGATAGACCTGACAACAAAATTTAAACCTTTTATGGAAAAATCAACCATCAGTGAAGATTAAAAAAAAAAAAAAAAAGGGCTGGCCAGATAGGTCAGCAGACTAAAGCACTTGCTCACGCAGAGTGCAGTGGCTGGTTCGCTCCCTGGCTTGCTGTGCCAGCCGCACCCCCAGGGTACGCTGAGGCAGGTGATCGAGACTGGACGTGGAGGCGTGCACCTGTAATCCCAGCACTTGGGAGGCTGAAAACAGGATCGCTATGAGTCTGATCTGTGTAGTGAGGCCCTATAGACCCTGTACTAAATACATTAAAAAAAAAAAAAGTAACTTGGGAAAATACTTTTTTAAAAAGATATAAATATTCAACAGAATAAGAGACTATTTACTGAAGTTATTAATACACACATGAAAAGATGACCCTTGATTAGGACAATGCATACTAAAGCAACCTCCGTCTCTAAGTGTGCTGAGCAGAACAAAATCAGCCTTGCGGTGAAGCAGCACACAGTCATGGGCTCATACCCTTCCACAATGACAGGAACTTATGTGGTTCTTTCTCATTTCCCCTACTTGCCCAGAGTGGGAAGTAGACGAAGAAGCTATAAGCCACAGGAAGAGAAGACTATAAGTCACTGAATTTTAATGAAATATAACCAGATAATTCTTTAATTCTCTGCTTTAAGTTGGAGCAAGTTACTGAGCAGTATAAAAAGCTTTCAACATGCAGAATTGTCTTACTCAGTTTGGTTGCCACTATCTACATGGTTGTATTTAAATTAATTAAACTGAAAATTAAAATTGATTTTTCAGGCTCACTAGCCACAAGAGACTAGTGGCTACTGTACTGGATAGCACAGATACAGAATATTTGCATCGGGGCTGGGAATACAGCTCAGTGGCCTAAGTGCCTGCCTGGCAAGCACAAGGTCCTCAGTCTGATGCCCAGTACCGAAAAAAAACAAAACAAAACGTGCATTATAGCAGAAACTTTTATTGAATAGCTCTGATAGAATACTACTTCAAACCAAAATCTGTCCTTCAGGGGCTGGGGAGATGGCTCAGTGAAGTAAGTGCTTGCCTGGCAAGCGCAGGGACCTGAGTTCAATCCCTGGTTCTGCAAAAAAAAAAAATCTGTCCTTCATACAAAACCTGATACCTCAGGAAAATAAATTCTCCATAGTTCTTCCTTTGGAGATTATATTGCCAACTATATTGGTTCGTTGCCACTAGGAAATCCATTCACACTATATATAATTTTTATATCTTTGTTCTCAAACCCACTGACCCAAGCTGATAGATACAGTTAGGTCCTACCAGGATATTATTGAGATGGACTACATAGGAAGGTGTTTTCTGGAGCCTTCGGAGAAAAAATATTTGTATTAATTCCTAATATCAAATCAACAGTTTAAAGGTGCCCAGTCTAGGCAAATTAGTGAGACTATATCTCAAAACAAACAAAGGGCTGGTAATGTAGCTCACTAAGACCATAGATTTAAACCTCAGTACAGGAAAAAAAAAAAAAAAAAGCCCTCTACATAAATTACCACAAGTCCACTCCAGTTGTTCCTAGCACGTTCTTGAAAAAGAATCAGGCTCAGAGACTTAATTCTCCTGTACTGGTCTGCCAATGAGCCATTCAAAACCCCTAAAAGCCACCAGACAGTCTGAGCAGGACTTTCACAAAAAAATCACACAAGCATTAATACAACTGAAATGGGGGATCTAAATATTCCTGTCACAAGTGCACAGATAAAGTAGACAAAAATCAATAAAGAAATATCAGAACCAAACCAGACTTTTCAATAAATGGACTTACAGGGTGTTCCATACTGTATCATTAAAATACACATTCTTCTCAGCTACACACATGATGTTCTCCAAAACAGACCACATACTAGCTCATGGAACATCCTTAAAATACAAAGGAACTGAAACTGTCCCAAGCATATCAGCAGACCATAGTGCAATGAATTGAAAATCAATGGCAAAAAAAAAGCCACAAGAACTTCATAAACACATGGAAATTAAATAACATCCTCCTGAACAACCAGTGGGTCACAGATGAAATTAAAGGAAATTCGACAGTTTTCTAAAATTAAACAATGCCAACACAACATATCAGAGCTTATAGAATGCAATGAAAGCAGGCTTACAAGTCAAATTTATAGCAGCGAATTCTTATATGAGAAAAACAGAGTAAGCCCAAATAAATATCCTAACGATGAACCTTGGGCTTTCAGAAAAAGAGCAAGTCAAGCCCAAAGTTCATACAAGGGAGGAAATTACAAAGATTAGAGCAAAAATTAAGGCAATGAAGACTAAGAAAACAATACAAAGAATCAAGGAATTAAATAATGTATTCTTTCAAAGATTAAACAGAAATACCCTTAGCTAACCTTATCAAAAAAAGGAAAGAAAGGGGCTGGTGAGGTGGCTCAGTGGTCTAAAGCACCTACTTAGAACAAGCTTAGCAAAGCACAGGGACCACGGTTCAATCCCCCAGCACCACATGCCAGCCGGCCCCGCCCCCTGGTGGGCTGAGCTGGCCACACATGCGCACGTGCACACACACACACACACACACACACACAAAATAAATAAAAAATTTTTTAAAAAAGGAAAGAAAAGACTCAAATTCGTGCAATTAGGAATGAAAACAGTAAAATCACAACAGATCCTGCAGAAATCCAGATCATCAATACCTACTTCAAGAAACTGTACTCTTGTTTTCTTTTTTGTATTTTAGGGAAGGGTCTACAGGGTGTTCAGGGTCTCACTACTAGATTGAATTCCTAGTGATCCGCCTGTTTACAGCCTCCCAAGACCTGGAATTACAGGCGCATGCCACCATGCCCAGTCTCAATTGCTGTCTCAGTGTGTCCTGGGGGGCGGGGCCAGCACAGCAGGCCCTGGGATTGAACCCCCAGCCCCTGAGCCTGCTTGCAGGGGCTTTAATCCACTGAACTATTGGCCAGCCCTAAACCATTATTATTTTTATTTATTATTTATTTATTTATTTTTGTATTTAGTGAAGGGAGAATCTGTATTCTTAATAAGGCAGAAAATACAGAAGAAATGGACAGATTCCTAGAATTACCAAAGCTGAAATAAAAAGATATGAAATGTCTAAATAAAGCACTATCAATCAATGAAATAGAAGATGTAACCAAAACCGATCAACCAAGAAAAGCCTAGGCCTGGTGGAGTCACTGCTGACTTCTAGATTTATTTATTTATTTATTTATTTATTTATTTATTATATTTATTACAGGGTCTCACTACACAGATCAGACACATAGTGATCTTCCTGTCTCTAGCCTACCAAGCACAGGGATTACAGGTGCAAACCACCATGCCCGAACTCCATCACCAGCTCAGCATGCCCCAGGAGCAAGGCCTGCACAGCATGCCAGGGACTGAACCCAGTCCTGGCGTCTGACTAAGCAGATGCTTTAATCCAATGACCTATCTGGCCTGCCCCTAAAAGAAATTTAGAAAAGACGAGATGCTGTTACTTCTCAAATTCTTTAATGAAACTGAAAGGAAAGCAATACTCCCAAACTTATCCTGGAAGCAAGTGCTATCCTGATACCAAAACCAGAGAATGATTAAACCAAAAAGAGAACTAAAGGCCAATCTCTTTAAAGAATATAGACACAAAAGTCCTCACTAAGATACTGGCAAACAGAATACAGCAAATCATCAAGAAGCTTATACACCATAATTAAGCAGGATTCATCCCAAGCATGCACATCCAGATGGTTCAATGTATGCAAATCAATAAATGTAATACACCATATTAACAGAGTGAAGGTGAAGGACAAAAATCATACCATCATCTCAAAAGATGTAGAAAAAGCATTTGATAAAGTCCAGAATACATGGTCTTTTTCTCAATCTGATAAAAGCCATCCGCAACAAACCAAGAGCCAACATCATATTAAATGGTCAAAAACTTAAAAGCAGGGCCAGCCAAATAACTCAGTGGATTAAAGCACCTGCAAGCAGGTGTAGGGGCCGGGGATTGGATCCCCAGGCCTGCTGTGCCGGCACCCCCAGGGCGCACTGAGATGGCTATTGATACGGGGCATGGTGGTGCGCATCTGTAATCCCCAAAATACAAAAAAAACAAAAAACAAAAAACCCGAAAGCTTTCACTCTAAAATCAAGAACAAGAAATGGATGTTGATTGTCGCCACTCTTATTCAATACAATTCTGAAAACATTAGCCAGAGCATTTAGACAGAATAGGAAAGGAAGAAATAAAATTATCATTTTTTGCACATGACATGATAATCTACATAGAAGACCCCAAAAAATCCACCAAAAGACTTCTAGAGTTAATAACCCAATTCAGTAGTGTATCAGGATACAAAGTCAACACTCAAAAATCAATAGCATTCCTGTACACAAATAGCAAATTCACTGAGACAAATTAGGGAAACCATAATTTTTACCATAAAATATGAAATACCTAGGAATCAATCTAGGAAAGAAGGAACTTCAAGACTTTTATATTAAAGCTAAACTACTTTAAAGAGGGAGACTGAAAAGGATATCAGAAAATAGAACAATATCCCTTGTTCTGGGATAGGACAAAGCAATATAGTAAAAATGGTCATACATCCAAATTGTTAGACATATCTAATCTCAATCAAATTACCAACACCATACCTCATAAAATTAGAGAAAACAATGCTAAATTTCATTTGGAACCAAAAGAAATATACAACAGCAAAAGCAATTCTGGACAACAAAGCTACGGCAGCGGGAATCATAATCGTTGACTTGGAATTAGCCTATGAAGCTACTGTGATAAACAGGTCTGAGGATCAATGGAACAGATTAGAAAATGCAGGAACAATTTCAAACACACTCAGTTTATATATTTATTTTTGTCTTTTTCAGACAGGGTTTCACTATGTAGTTCAGGCTGGCCTTGAACTCACTTTGTAGCCCAAGCTGGCTTTGAACTCAAATGCATAGTGATCCTCTTGTCTCTGCCCCTGAGTGCTGGGATTATAGGTGTGTGCCACCATGCCCAGCCAGCCACCTTATCTTTGACAAAGGACCCCAAACAGATTCCATGGAATTCTTGAAGTCAGTAGTGTAGGCAGACTGTACGAACAAAACGCTGATTGCACAAAGAATCAACTGGGATCTCATCTGATAAAAAAAACTTTTGCACAGCAAAAGAAAACTATCAACAGAGTGAAGAGCCAACCCACAGTATGGGAAAGTTTTTGCCAGCTAGTCCTCAGAAAAAGGGTTGATATCTAGAATACATAAAGAACTCAAAAAATTCAGGCACCCCAAATCTAAAGACCCAATCCATAAATGGATATCTGAAATGAATAAAATACTTCTTAGATGAAGAAGTAGAAATGACAAGTAAATACATGAAAAACTGTTCAATGTCCCTGAAGATGTAAGTTGAATAGGACTAGAGGGCCCATTTGACCCAGCTAGTCTTCCTCTTTTTGATATCTTCCCAAAAGAAATAAAAGCACCATTGCACAGTGACACACGTGCAACCATGCTTAGCATGGCATACCCTGTAATGGGTAAGTCTTGCAAACAGCCCAAAAGCCCAAAAACTAATGAATGGAGAAAGAGGATGTGGGCTTCTTCTTCTTCCTCCTCCTCCTCCTCCTTTTTTTTTTTAATATACCACTCTGCCATAAAGGATAAGCTTAAGATACATCTAACTAAATGCATGCACCCTGACCATACTCTTAAATGAAATAAATCAGACATGCATGTTTGCATTTTTTCTCTGGTGTGAGAAACCAAAACTGTAAATAAGGACCATGTATAACAGATATTGGGAAAATATCTATTTTCCCAATTATATAATAGATATCAAGAAATAGGAAGACAATGTTTAAACAAGGAAAGTAAGGGACAGGGGTTGGGGGAAGGAGGGACAAGGAAAAAAGAACAGAAGGAAAAAATGGAAATAAGACTTTTGTAAATAAGGAGAGGAAGAGGGGTTGAAGGGAAGAGAATGGGAAAAAAAAAGAAACAAGATATATCATGTACAGGTACAAATTCTCTATGATGATTGTGATCATTATATACACCTAAAATGTACCAATAAGAAAAGTTTTTTAAAAAAGCAGAACTTTCAGATTTGATGGCTCAGTAGGATAAGTGCTTGACTGGCAAACGCAACCATCTGAGTTCAATCCCCAGTTCCGCCAAAAAAAAAAAAAAAAAAAAAAAAAGAGTCAAGCTGCTGTTATCTTATTGACAATAGAAATTTTGTTACCAATATTTAAGAGTTTTGAATCTGCAACAGTGTCCTACCTTTAAGGCTCTCAAAAGGAAGGAGATCTTAATCTAAAGTCCTTTTTGGCCTCCAGTGGCTGAGTGGGTGGAAGCTCAGGGATGCTCTCGTCCTTACCCTTTTAAAACAAAACAAAGTCTGCCCAGTAGGATGGATACCTGGCATGAATGAATGGCAAAATCACTACTTCTTTTTTCTGTAAATTTTCATTCAGGAGGATCCTTGCAAGTTTGAGGCCAGCCTATATAAAGTGAGTTCAAGGCCAGCCTGAACTGCATAGACACCCTGTCTGAGAAAGAAAGAAAGAAAGAAAGAAAGAAAGAAAGAAAGAAAGAAAGAAAGAAAGAAAGAAAGAAAGAAAGAAACTGTTCACATTCCCTGTGTAAGTAAAGAAAGCCCACAGTGACATTCTCTATAAAACTGCAGGGCATGAAATATATGAAAACTAGAGTTGTCTGGCAAAGAACAATTTGAACTTGGTTTCCTGGTACCAACTTTTGAAAGTCCTCAATTCCACACATAGTACACAAACAGTGAAATGCCATGGCTCCTGAAAACAGATGCATAAAAAGAGAACCCAAAGTTTTCAAAATCTTGATACCAACATTCTTCCACTCAGGGCTTCAGAAAGCCATTCCTGTCTGACCACCTTAAATATTTGTGGTTTCAATCTGGCAGCTTCTTTGAAACCAAACACATATACTTTCTCAGTGTAAGTTCACTCACTGTAACTACACACCACTTTGGGAACAGAAAATTCAGCAGAGTAAACTGCGTAACTAGGCTCCAACACAATTGAGCTTTTGATTTCAAATCTACTTCTGAAAATTCCCTGCTACTCCAAGTTTGGCCATCCTTCCAAAACCCATTCAGTCAGCAAGTGTGGAAAGCAGCAACAATGAGGTCGCCATCTAACTTCCTTGTTCTGGCAGGACGCAAGATGACAGCTGTGGGCAGAGCTCAGAAGCCCTTCCTTTTTCCCCGGCCCAGAACATCCGCGGCCCCACAAGGGAGCAGTAGGACCAGGCTCTGCAGACCACACTTTCCACAGTGCTTCTCCTGGGAAGCCTAGAACAACCTTCCAGGCTTGTGAATGGATGTCTTAAAGAGAGAACAGCAGCCGTCCACCTCAGCTGGAGCTGGCTCCAAAGTAGGCCAAAGGCACCACCTTGAGTGCGCCCAGAACAGGGAGCATGCGCAGCTGCTCAGGCCCCCCAGGGGGACACAGCTGAAGACTTCCTCCTCAGCATGCCCTTTACCTCTCTACATACTGACAGCAAGGGGGAAAGTGGAGACAGCAATAGAAAGGGGAGGCAGAGCGGGGACCTATTATGAAGAGGCACACTTATGCGCGTGCGCACACACACGAGGTCCCGTGACTGGAGTTCTGTACTCTTTTAAATCACTTTCCCTTTGATAACAGAAATTAAATGGAGTCACATTTTGCTCCACTGGGAACTTATACCCTGGCTTTCCACACAAACTAGCAATTATGGTGATGATAATAACTAAAATGTTCATGACAGATAAAAAGAGTTTTATAACATTTTCACTTCACTAATCAGATAAGATTTAGAACATAAACTGAAAACTCCCTCTTTCTATGTCCTCAAAGGATCAAACTCACAAAACTGATGAACTTGGTGCAGCTTCCCAGGACCGAAAGAGGTCATGAAGAAGCTCCCAATTCACCAGCCTGGCCACAAAAGCTGGGCTTCTCTGCAGGGAACAGGAATGGTACCACATCACAAACCACCCCAAGGCCCTCGGCTTCCCACAGGGCACAATGTTAGTTATAGAGAAGTCATGATTCTGAGCAGAGCCGACGACTTCACTTCCTTCTTGAATAAAGGGCAGAAAGGGGGAGAATAAGAAAACAGCAGCAGTTGAAATGGTAGGTCAAAGCAAGGATGAAACTTTCCCACTTTTACACCATCAACACCATCCCTCAGCCACCAGTCCTACAGGGATCGTGATGGCTTCCTAAGCGCAATGCTTTCTAGGAACTTCAGCACACATGAACACAACTGATTAGGAGGCAACTTACCGTCTCTCCCCATTGTGTTCAAACTTGATTCTGACGTCACTCTGCCAAAAGTAATGATAACACAGGTTAGAGGGCTCATGTTATTCCTGCCATTCACAAGTAAGCTTTCAGTAACCCTTTAATGACATGAGGCAAACATCTCAAGGCTCTTGGTTCAGTTACCCTACTCAGAAAGGCATTCCTTTCCAATGAGTTATAATTTCCAGTTCTAATCTCAGGAGCAACAAAGCTCCTGGGACAAGATTCCTGGGTACCTGTCCCAGCTCAGTTTCGAGATTTACACACTATTTCTATAACTAGCTCTGGAATTTCTCCTACTATACATCTCCTCATCAAGATGGATATCTTTCCTTCTTGATTGATACTTCCAAATAAATCTTGTGGCAGACCACTGGCAAGTTGCTTATCCTCAGAGTTTTAGTTTTTCCATTTCTAGAAGGGGGTTAAACATACTTTGCAGAATTGCTATGAGGACTAAATGAGACATGAGTGAAATATCGATATATAGTAGACATGCGATAAATACATATATATTTTGTTTCTGCTGTTCTTTCTACTACTATCATGGGATTTCGCACAATCTTACCAGGCTGTCCTAATGGGAGTAAAGTAGGACCCTGAACAAATTCCCATAGACACTGTTCCTAGCTTTCTCCAAAGGCCTATTCTTGGGCATATAAGCTGGAAGGGTAGAAATCATGTTTATTTTGTTTCTATAGCCCTGTGACAAGCAAACCAAATAGCATATAAAACTTGTGCTTAATAATATTTGTTATATGGATGAATGGACTAATGAACAGAACTGAGACTAAATGTCAGAAAGGAAAGGAGAAGCATCAAAATGTTAAAGAAAAAGCCAACAGAAAGAAATATTAGAAATGTTATTTGAGAGAGTTAGAAAAATGATAAGAAAGAAATATTATAGAAGAGAGGAAAAAGATTGTCAAGAAACCAACAAATAATTGATGAAGAGAAAAAATAATTCATAATCACTGAGTAAAACATTATTCAAAAAAGACAAACGACAGACTGGCTTACCCTGGGCACAGTGGCACACAACTACAGCCCCACTACTTGGGAGGCTGAAGCAGCAGGGTCTCAAGTCTGAGCACAAAGTCAGTTTGAACTACACAGCAAGACTTGTGTCCAAAAATCCAAGACTGTGGCCAGCTTTAGTGGTACATGTCTGCAATCCCAGCACTTGGGAAGCTGAGGCAGGAGGACTGGCAGCAGTTTAAGGCCAGCCTGGGCTACACAGCAAGTCTCTGTCTCTGTCTCTTCTTTGTCTGTCTCTGTCTCTCTCCCTCTCTGTCATACACACACACACACACACACACACACACACACACACACACACACGTATACAGACTGTGGCTTTCAAAGCTTCTAAATTGGGGAACAAATAGCAAGCAGAGATGATAGACTAGGGAGAGAATGAAAGGAAGAGTTCATAAAGAATTCCTTTCTCAGGGCTGGGGAGACAGCTTGGTGGTATAAGCGCCTGCCTGGAAAGCACACGGTCCTGAGATTGATCCCATACCGGCGAGTCTAAACTGCATAGTGAGACCCTGTTTCAACAAAAAAAAGAATCCTTTCTTGCATGAGGGGCTAAAATTCTCTTCTAGGATATTTGAACAAAGATTTTAATTTACCCTCTTAAAATGATTGAGGCTTGAAACAGCTTCTGTTTAAGTGACTTAAACTAATATTTACCATAATATAAATTAAAACACAACATTTCAATTTTTTATCTCAAAATAACAATTAAAAACATTAGATGTTAACTTTTTTTTTTTGGTACCAGGAATTAAACTCAGGACCCTGCCCCTGCCAGTCAGGCACTCGTGCCAACTGAGCTATATCCCCCACTCTAGATGTGAACATAAATAAACCTTTTATAAAAATTAGGCTTTCCAAAAAAAAAAAAAAAAAATAGTAAGAGAACACAAATGTCTTTAATGCATGGCCTAAAGAGAGCAGAATTCTCTTGCCTGCTTCAAATTTCAATCTTCTTCTTTGGACCTTGCGCTTGCCAGGCAGGCGCTTATGCTGCTGAGCTATCTCCCTGGCTCTTGAAACTGTTCTAAGCATGTTACATATATTAAATTTATCCTCATAAAAGGTACTACTGTTATTACTATTCTACAAAAGAAACTGGGTTATAATGAGGTTCAGTAAGTTCACCCAAGGGCATATCATATTGTTTGGAAAGTAAGAGGCAGGATAGCCAGGATTCAAACCCTGGAAGCTGGCTCCTAACTAGCAAGCTCAATGTGACACAGTCAAACGGCTTATTTCGCTCACACAAGGCTTCAATGGGAACAATGAAAGCAAGAAAATAACAAAAGATCTTTTTTCTTTTTTTTTGCGGTGATGCATACCATGTGAGGCACTCAAATCCACATTTCTCCTGACAGGCTGACAGTAATAAGCTCTGTGTAATAAGGGCTCCACTAAAGATAACTGTGTTCGATTCCTCTCTGCCAACTACTCTCCTTGACCCCTTAGAGGCACTCTGTACTAGAGCCAAATCCTTGGACTTCTGCGACTCTACTCTAGAATAAGTAGCTTATTCTACTGAGCTATCTCCCTGGCAATAACAGAAGATCATATGTGACCTTACTTTTTGGAACTCATGGAGAAAGAGATAAGAGCTCCCTGTATTGGGGTAAAAATGGAGTCAGAACCCAATCACATAATAATAAGCTGGGAAGCCAGGGGAGGACGCCTTAGTTGAGGCTGTGGGTGAATGAAAGGATAGAGAAGGTAGAAAGGAAGGTGGCCCTATCTGATCTGTGTTCTAGGCAGACTGTATGCATGTCCATATGTACAGTACATGGGCACAGGGTAGGGCAGTGCAGTGGCGGGAGCCACCATATGGATTCAAGGTTTCTAAGAGTGACATGCTAAGTAACTGCCGTAATAAGAACCCTCCAAAGCGCAGTCCCCGAGACCTGCTGCCGCCCTCTCCTATGCTGTCTCCATCTTCCCACTTTGTACTCCCACAAAGGGCTCTGGAGCATCCAAGTGCTCATCAAACGCTGTCCTTTCTGTCCCTGCACTGCTGCTGCCTCTAGCCCAGCACACTTGTACAGCTCTCATTATAATTATTTTTTGGATTAATATATTTCTGGAACAGTTTTAGATCTACAGAAAAATGGAGCAGTTGGAGCGGAATTCCCATCCCTCACACAAGCTTTCCCTATTGTTGACATCCTATATCAGCATAGTATGTTTCCTTTTGTTGTAATCGTTAATATTAATATATCCACCAAGGCCCACAGTTTATTCAGATTTTCTCGGTTCTCTCACTTTTGTTTTGCTTTGTTTTGTTTTTTGAGACAGAATCTCACTATGTAGTTTAGGCTGGCCTTGAACTTGAGCCATCCTCCTGCCTTAGCCTACTGAGTGCTGGGATAACAGGCGTGCCCTGGCACAACTGGCTCAGGTCTTCTCCTATTAATTTTTATCAATTTTTGTCACTCTTAAAAATGTGGCAGGGTCCGGGGCCATAGCTCAGAGGCACAAGCACCTGCCTGGCAAGCTGGGCATGGCAGCACATGCCCATAATCCTAGCATTTAGAAGTGAGTTTAAGACCAGCCTGGGCTACACAGCAAGACCCTGTCTCAAAAAAAAAAGGGGGGGGGGAGCGATACGGAACCTCCTCAGCCTCTTTGCAGACTGAGGAGCTAAATCCGTTTCATGATGTGCTGTCACAGCAATACAGCTCTCCGTGAAGTTAGTCAGGAAAGGAGCTGAGCCTTTGCTCCCCATCACAAGTCACTCATGCTCAAGCTGACCAGGCCTGGGACTCCTAAGCAGCGCAAAGACGCCTCTGCAAGGCCGCCGCTGCCGCCGCCGCCGGGCAGGGCGCAGCCTCGCCCACACTACTTGAGGCGCTGGTCCGCGCTTCTGCCGGCCAACAGTGACAAGCCCCGTGTAAGAAGCGCTCCTCTAAAGATGGCTGTGCGATTCCTCCCTGCCAACCACTCCCCTTTACCCCTTGCAGGCATTCTGTACTGAGCCAATCCTTCAACTTCTCCGACTCTCCTCCAGCCCAGGGAACCTGCTTCCATGCTCGGCACTCCTGCTGCTTTGCTGACCCTTCTTCACGCCCTCTTCTCTGTACCACATGCGACCACTGGCTTTTCATCTCGGGCTTCAGTCCCCTCTGTCACTTTCTCCTCAGTAGGGACACACTTAATCAAAAGTCAATCTCTAAATAGAAGACTCCCGAATCTCTATATTTAGCCCCAATCTATGAAGCAAAATGTCATCTGCCTGCCACGTATTTGAGGCAGACATGCAGTTGTTAAAAATGTATCAATGAGGTCAAACTGCTTATCTTGCATCCTCACTCTACAATTTCTGTGTAACCTTGCACTTGTTACTTACCCTCTCTGGGACCATTTCCTTGTCCTTGAAGTGAAAATAATGATAGTATTTATCTGATATTTACATTTCACTTATTGTAATAATTGAGTAAGGAGATTAGACTAATACCCAATTTATAAGTGCTCAATAAGTGATAAAAGAGACCCATTACCCTTGGACCACAGCCACAGTGGTCCAGGTGAGGCCGACAGTGTTTCAGAACACACACACAGAGGATGGGAAGAGGCAGTGTGGAGCGCCTCCTATGGCCATGTGTGGCTTCCCTCTTCCCAGGGGAGGGAGAGGGTGGCTGGGACCCCACTCCTGTCAGAGGCGGAATGCTCACAGGTATTTCCTGTATTCCTCTGCATTTTCTCACGTTAGTTTAGCTATCTTTCCCCTTTTGCCTCATTCTGACCAAGAGCTGGGAAGGGAACTGATCCTGTACACTTCCCCGGCAGCCATATGGCCCAAGACAGTGAGGTTCCCTCGACCAAGGTTGCCAAGTGACTGAGGAACACTGTCCTCCCTCCTCATCTGAGACAGCACTGTGAAGTTTCTGCAACTTTCAGTTTGTTTCTTTACATAACAGAAACTAGCTATCCAAGCTATCCTAATTTTTGCAATGAGAGTATGAATATACACAATAAATGGGATAGACTATAA